CTCTCTGGTCAAATTAAAATAAAGTTAAAATAATTATATACACACACACACACACACACACACACACTGTGTGTGTATATATATATATATATATATATATTCTGGGGTGGAGGGAAGCTAGAAGTCATAGTCAATCAACCATTACTCTGTCTAATTTCTTCATACTTTATTCGTTTTATTAACAGGCTGAGAAAGCAAAAGTTTCCCAAACACTGATTCATAATGTTTGCAAATGGCACACAAAAAGTTCAGTTCCACAATGAGTAACGGTGATCTCTTTAAATGCAATTTTAATCCTTATTTTAGGTTAAGTGCAATAATTTAATACAATAAGCTAAACACACACAAAACTTGTATATCCTGAACTACAAAAGTAGTTTCATAGCCACATACATTTTTAGTCAAGTACGCTTTTCACGATGAACAAGTACAAATATGTTAATAAGACACTCCCAGAATGTTAATCCTGCCTTTTAAGCAATGTCATTCTTGCTACTGAAAGCATTTCTTTTTTAGAAGCTTTAATCTGATATGGGAAAATGAGTGAGTTCTCCTAAATTTTAACAAGTAATATGTTATAATCCCCAAAAGGTTTTAAATCAAAAAAGCTTTCCAACACTGAAGCACTTCTAGTTTATCCAAATAAAATAAAATAACTTCCATGATCTGAAAAATGGAATATTATCTTTTAAGACAAACACTCTTACAAAAAACTGTATTTTCATATATCATCTCTTTAAAGGAAACACAAACCAATTTATTATCTTTATTGGCCTCTCAGACTACTATTGTCTAAAAACTTCAGAATACGTGAAGCACATATGTCAACTATCGCCGCCAAAGACGTCATTTAGATTTCACATGTTAAACACCTACAGTATAGCTTACAGTGGCCCAAATATACCCAACATATAAACACGACTTTATCCTTTGGATACTCAAAGTTAACAGGAACTGCACGGCTTGCAAGGTATTTTAACTAATGTGTGGTCATTAAAATCCAATAAGAAATTAAGCATGGTCACTTAAAGACAGGTTCAAGGTTCAAATATCACTCTAAAACCCAAGACATAAAAATAAAACTGTAAACTTTGTGTTTTTGCAACTTTCATTTACATAGCTAGGTATCAGGACCTTTACTGTAGAAAACAGCCAATACGAACAGTTTCTCCAAAAGATAATGAAATGTCAGAAAGTACAAAAAGTGTCAAGATCCATAGTTTGCTTCGTCAAATGCTTTCCTAGCTCGTTTCAACTCTTCATTCATAGTAAGCAAGTCTTTAACCCTTGCAAACTTCCGTGGATCCTTTCGAATCAAAAACACGATATCTTCAACTTGTACTCGACCTTGTCTTCCAATTGACATTGCCTTGTGCGTCTTACAAAGAAACATATTAAAATTCAGTTAGAAGTATGTCACATTTTACTGCTTTAACTTACACTTATTAACTGCTGGTAAGGCTGAAGATTTTTCTCTTTTAATTATTGCAAATTTTCATTTGTGAAGTCTTACTACTCATGTCCATTGTCCTTTTTCTGGTAGGTTATTAGCAATGTTTCTCTTTACGCTTCATAGGTATTTTTATAAATATTACAGACATTCAAACCCTCAAACGTATCAATGTCCCTCTCTTATGTCTTTTGATATATATGGTTTTTGTCTTAGTTTGTATAATCTTATCATTTCTTTTTTTTTTTTTTTTTTTAAGAGGTTTTTGCTATAGGGCGCGTGCGCTCGCCAGACAGAGACAGAGACAGAAAGTGAGAAATCGCCCCCCCCGGGGGGGGATGGCCACACCGCAATCCCTTCTTCTCCATTCTCCTCTCGGGATCTTGGGCTCGCACGCACACGCGCCCAGTGTGAGTTTTAAGCCACCGGGTTCGGGACGCAAATCGCGGTCGACTACATGGGAGTCCAGTGACATAGCCATTACGCTAACTGCTGGTCCCAATCTTATCATTTCTTTGTAACCTTATGCTGAATCTTTCTGTTTCAATAGTCAATGTATATTGGTGAGCTTTCTTAAAATCAAGTAAATAAATCTCATTCTGTGCAAAAACAAAGGTTTATCAACAGCATTATTTCCAATGACTAGGAAGACAAACAAATGGAAACTAAATATTAATAAAGTCAGTGAGTAAATGAACTTGAGTACATGCATTCAATTAATAATATGAAGCCATTAGAAATATCACAGAGTACGACGCAATGCAATGGGAGAAACGTTCTAGACTTACCTAAGGGAAAAATCAGGTTCTAAGACTATATGTACTATATGATTCTAATTTCATAAGAAGTTTAAAAATATATGCAAAAAGACAAAATAATATTCACCAGAACATTAGCATTAATTGTTTCTAAGTGGATGAATTAGATTTTCTTTCCGTCCTTTCTTTCTTGCTATTGGATGCACGTACTTGCCAGAGGGGGAGAGAGAAAGAGAAAATGAGAAAGCACCTCCAAGGGAGGATGACCACCGGCCATCCCTTCTCCATTCTCTTCTCAGGACTCTGGGCAAGCACACATACACACCTGACATGTTTTTCAACCCTCTGTATCCAGGTCTTAAACCACAGCCAGCCTTATGTGATCCAGCCCCCTTACCACCTAGCTGGCTCTAGATTTTTATATTCTTCCCTGTGCTTTGTTATATTTTCTAAATAATATTTAATTAATGTTAGTTTGGGGGACTAGTGGTTGGTGTAATGGCTATGTCACTGGAATCTCATGCAGTCGACCGCGGTTCGAGTCCCGGACCTAGTGGCTTAAACTCACACCAGGTGCATATGTGTGCGTGCCCAAGATCCCAAGAGGAGAATGGAGGAGAAGGGACTGTGGCGTGGCCATCCCCCCTGGGGGGGTGATTTCTCGCTTTCTGTCTCTCTGTGTCTTTCTGGCAAGCGCACGCGCCCTATAGCAAAAACCTCTCAAAATAAAAAAAAATAATTAAAAGAAAAATTCATAAGAACTAAATACAGCCAAACTCAGTAATCTCCCTTGCAACTACTCTTAAAGGAGGAGGGAGGGAGAAATTTCACTAGTATGGTCATTAAAAATTCAATTAAAAATAAAACAACCTCAGGGACCAACAGGTGGTGTGGTGGTTAAGGTGCTGGACACTCCCACATGGATGACTAGGGTTCAAGTAATGGACCTAGTGGCTTGCTTTCTCACTTTTCCTGTCTCTCTCTCTCTCTTTCTCTCTGTGTCTCCTTGTGGTCAAATTAAAATAAATGAATGAATGAATAAATAAGTAAATAATGATTTAAATAAAAAATAAAACAACCTGTAAATAATGTACACAATAAGGAAATGGTTACATAAACAAGAAAACAATATCAATGAATATCATGTAGCTACTAAAATAATTATCATTAGACCACAAGAACTACAAATTATAAGCTTTAGATAAAAAGAATGTGATCATGATCACTACTATGTACCAGTATAAATGTAAAACATTATATGCCAGGGCCAGCAGGTGGTGTGGTGGTTAAGGCACTCGAACTCCACACAGCCAACAGTGGATCGAGTCCCAAACCTAGAGGCTTGCTTCCTCACTTTCTCTCTCTCTCTCTCTCTCTCTCTCTGGTGGGTGTACATGCCCCATACCAAACTTAAAATAATGATAATGATAAATAAAAATAAGTGACATTTAAAAAGAGATATATATTGAAGAAAACATTATATACTTCTAAATAAATTTTGGAAGAGGAGGGGTTAAAAAAAACAACCAAAACCCCATGCTGGATAACGGAATTATGGGTAATATTTATTCAAGAATTTTATAATTACATCCTTCCAAATACAACTCAGGAGGAGGGGACAAAATATTCATCCGTATGATACAGAATATATAGCCATCCTTATGATAAATAGTAACCAGTACCATTCACAAAACAGGCACTCAAGGGGACAGCAGATGGCGTGGTGATTAGGGTGTTAGATTCCCACCTGACCAACCACAGTTTGAGTCCCAGACCTTAGGGCTTGAGAATCATGGTAGGCATATGTGCATGGGTGCCCAAAATCCTAGGAGGAGAATGGAGGAGAAGGGACTGTGACATGTCCATCCTCCCTGGGGGATGATTTCTCACTTTCCATCTGTCTCTCTTTCCAGTGAGTGCACGTTCCCCATGGTAAAAAAACAAACAAAAAATTCACTCAAATGGACAGCTTATCAAAAGAATGTCATTTTATCTAAAGCTTAGAATTTTAAATCTGTTCTTTAATTAACTAAGACCAATTATGAAAGAATCTTACCATTTCAGTTATGAACTCTATGACAAGGTCTTCAAGAATATCCACTGACTCAGTGTAAGGATTTTGGTCATCCCCAAACCCATACATCATACAACGTACTGTAAAAGAAAAATCACATTTATTTACTTATACATAAACAGATTCATCAGCTTGACCAATACCTTTTTTCAAATAAACCAGAATTTGACCAAGTTATAGACAATACTGGTATTAAAAAAATTTTACATTGTATTTTTTTCTCCAAGCACAAATTTTTTTTGAGAGATTTTTGCTATAGGGCGTGTGCACTCACCAGAGAGACTGAGAGAAATCACACCCGAGGGGGGGGGGGGGGCCACGTCACAATCCCTTCTCTATTCTCTTCCTGGGATCATAGGCATGCGCATGAACACACCCAGCATGAGTTTTAAGCTGTCGGGTCCAGAACTTAAACCATAGTTGGCCTTGTGGGAGTCTAGTAACTTAACCTTTGTGCCATATGTTGGCCCCATCCAAACACAAATTTTGGCGTAAAAGGTTTATCCACAGTCTAATGACTGACTATTCCCACTTAGCCTCCAATTCCCCTTATGTCCCAGCTACTGAACTTTGTCGATATGCTTTTGCTAACCTAGATCATATAGTCACCAGCACCCCCAAAATGCCTTAAGGTAAGAGACTCTGTGACAAGGACAGGATAGCAACAGTTTAGCCTGGTCTGGACGTGTGTGTCTCATTATGTCACTGGAAAAGAGAAGGATATTACCAAAGGTAAAATGATACAAGAGAAAGTGCTCCAATTAGCTTCTTATAGGAACAAACAGGGTAATCAAAAATTGAAAGCAGAGGGCTTACTATAAGGAATTTTTAAATTTCATTTCCTATACCAATACAACTGCCAACACAGCCTTTTTTGGCTTCATATCTGAAGGAACCATAGAAATTTCAAAAGAGAAGAAAAGTCTAATACAGAGTAATAGTTAAAAGTCACATAGCCCTTACTGTATATCAGGTAGTGTTTTTAAATCCTTTACATATATAGTACACTTAATCCTCATAATAATCCTTCAAGGTAGATAATATTATTATCCCTACTCTATAGAAGAAGAAACTGAGGCACTGAGTTAAGTGATTTACCCAAGGTCACACAGTTTATAGAAGACAGACTGGAAATTAAACCCAGCCAATCTGGTTGAGTCTTTACTTCTACCCACAATAGAATTACACTTCTTGGTAGCTTAGGAAAGATGAGATCCATAGGAATTCTCATCCTATGTGCTATAAAGTTCTATTTAGTCCATAGACAAGCTTTAAGAAGTCCTTGCATTTCCCCTGCAATTATATTTTGAAATGTCATATATTTTCTGTATATGTACATTTTTCTGGGAATAATTATAACTTTTGTTGGAATCTTTTTAATTTTTTTTTTTTTTTAGTTTTTTTCCATAGGGCACATCCATTCACCAGAGACAGAAAGATGATGAGAGGGCAATTGAGAAATCACCCCCCAGGGAGGGCTGGCTATGCCACAATCTCTTCTCCATTCTACTACTGGGATTTTGGGCATGTACACACAGGCTCCAGGCGTGAGTTTCAAGCCTCTGGGTCTGGGACTCAAACCACCGTCAGCCATGTGGGAGTCCAGCACCATAACCACTACACCACCTGCTGGCCCCTTTTATTAGAATCTCAAAAGGTATGTAAATACTATCAAAATTTTATCTTGGAATCTGAGCAGTGGTTATAAGTGTGTGTGTATGTATGTGTGTGTGTGTGTATATATGTAAATATATATGTAAATTTCATCAAGCTATTCACTTAAGATTTGTACAATTTATTTTAAGTTTCACTTTTTTTTAAAGAGTTATTTAATTTTATTTATCATTATCATTATTATTTTTTAATTTGCTACAGGGCACACGTACTTACCAAAGAGACAGAGAGAGAGAAAAACAGAGAGAGGGAAAGTGAGAAAGCAAGCCACCAGGTTCAGGACTTGAACAGCAGTTGGCCATGTATGAGTCCAGCATATTAACCACCATGCCACATGCTGGCTCCAAATTTCACATTTTTTAAAAAACAAACTCCCAAACACTTCTACAGGAAGGAATAAGTACATTAATAATTTCTATTTGGGAAAATTAAAAATTGGTAGAAGTGAAGAGAAGAAAGCAGGCCAGGCCAATGGAAGAAAAGAAAGGGGTGACTTGGAAGCCAGCCTGGGACAGAGGACCACAAAGGTTTACACTGGCAAGGCCTTAGGTCCTGATACAAGAGGAAAAAGGCAAACATGGGAGCTAATATTTTCATCTTTCTTTTTATGGATTTTGTTAAATTTTTTTGGCCTTTTTAAAAGATAATTTTAGACTTACAGATGAGTTACAAAAATAGTACAGACTTTCTATATATCTTATATCCAGGTTCCCCATATGGTACCATCTTATATAACCACAGATATTTACTGAAACGAGAAATTAACATTGATCCAAGTACAGACTTTATTCAGAATGTACCAGTTTTTCCACTTTTAATGTTCTTTTTCTGATCAAGGATCCCACACTATCCAGTGGTCATGCCTCCTTTTTTCCTCCAATCTGTGATAGTTCTTCAGCCTTTCTCCATCTTTTAAGACCTTGATCCTTCTGAAGACTAGTGGTCAGTTGTCTTGTGGAATGTCCCTCAATAAGGGCTTATTGAGTTTTCTCATGACTATACTAAGGTTATACATTATTAGAAAGAATACAATCGGGATGAGCAGTTAGCGTAATGGCTATGTCACTGGACACCCATGTAGTTGACTATGGTTTGAGTCCCGGACCCGGGACTTAAACTCATGCTGGGCGCATGTGCATGAGTGCCCAAGATCCTGAGAGGAGAATGGAGGGGAAGGGATTGCAGCGTGGCCATCCCCCCTGGGGGGATGATTTCTCGCTTTCTGTCTCTGTCTTTCTGGCGAGCGCACATGCCCTATAGCAAAAACCTGTCAAAAAAAAAGAATACAACTAAAATGATGTGCCCTATTAAGGCATGATACTGATAGTACATGCTATCTTATGGGTAGTCCTAATCATCATTTGGCTAAAGTAATGTCTGCCAGAATTTTCCAATGTCAGTTTACTGGTTTTCCTTCAATATTTTGAGGAAGATCATTTGTGACTAACATTTTGATGGGAAGAACTCACTACCAGGCAATGTAAGTCAACTGAAAAATAAAACATGCTATAAAAGAAATACGTCAACCTTGTTTTGGCTAAAGATTTGTAAAGGTATAATCAAATGCCAATGAATGCTTTAAAACCAGTTTAATAAAACATTAAAAACTTTTTCTTGAGCCAGCCCTATAGCCTAGTAGTTAAGAGAGCCGGATCTCATGTGTCCAACTTTAGTTTAAATACCAACCCCACTGGCTAGAGAAACACACCAGGCGTATGCACACGTGTGATCAATCCCTATAAGATGGAGAAATGGAGAAGGCATGTGGTGCAATCGCACCATTGGCACTCCTTTTTCCTCTCTGTTTCTCTGGCAAGTACATGCACCCTCCAGCAACTAAAAGAAGAAAAAATATTCCTTTTTTTTTTTAAAGAGGGCTGGGACCAGCAGATGGCATAATGGTTACACTGCTGGACTCCCACATGGTCAATCATGGTTCAAGTCCCGGACCTGGTACCTTAAAACACACTGGGTGAATGTGTGTGTGCCCAACCAAGACAAGAATGCAGAAGAGACTGTGGTGTGGCCATCCCCCCAGGGGGTGATTTCTTACTTTCTGTCTCTCAGATAAGCACAAATGCCCTATAGCAAAAATCTCTCTCTCTAAAAAAAAAAAGTGGGTTAGGGCCAGCAGGTGGTGTGGTGATGAAGCTGTTGGATCCAACACAGTCAACTACTCAGTTTGAGTCATGGACCTGGTGACCTGAAAAACATGATGCTGTGCACGTGTGAGTGCACGTCAAAAAGGGATTGTGGCATGGTCATCTCCCACAGGAGGAGCTTTCTCCCTTTCCCTCTCTCTCTGCCTCCCTCCTGTGAGTACCTGCATGCTATAGAAAAAAATCTAAAAAAGAAAGAGATAAAAAATCAAAATAAAAAAGAGGGTTTAAGAGAACAGAGCTTAGTAAGATATATGAAGATTCAGGTAAGACAAAGGAGAAGGCTATGAAGATTCCAAATTCCTGCCATCACAAAAATAAAGTTATCTAAGTGGAATAAAGCTCTCCGCTAATAACTAATTTTGTAAGCATCACTCTGATATTCTCCAATGGAAGAACCCCTTTCTTATTCAGTCATAATAAAAATTAAAACACTGATGGAGCAAATTGCATCACAGAAATGGAATAAGGAGTGATCAGATTTATGTGAGGAATCGAGATATGGAAAAGATTTTGAATGGTAAAAAAACAAGCAAACAACAACGAAAAATACTGACTGTATTTACTTGTAAATACAGTTACACATGTACCTGGGAAGTGCTCATGTCTGACCCAGCATAAACAAACAAGATATTCAAATATCTGCGTTGCTTCATCACTCAATACTCAACCATAACTATATGTAAAAAACCTAGGACTGGGAGTTAAAGAGTACATTCTCATAGGCCTTTCGGGACTATCAGTTATAAGAGAAGCTCTCCCTTCCTTCTGGTGCTGCCAAAGAGTCAAATCTACTGAGGAAGGACAAGGCACTAATACATTACACTTTCTGTTGCAATGCTTCACACTGTTCACCACCTTTCTGCCCTGTTCACTGCCTTAGTCCAAGGCCCCAACTGGGACTACCCTCAGCTCCTCCAGGATCCATCATTACCTGTGGCATACAGTCAAAGGAATCCCTGCTCCTATTGCTGCACAGTTCAGGGACAAGAACGCTGACAGACGTGTGTTCTGTCCTGAATTAAAACACTGATCATACTTCCTTACTTTTAAATAATTTTACATACACACACTTATAAAATTGGAGTGAGGATTGTTACTGTGATTCAAAAGTTAAGCAGAAGTTTCTAGGCCCCAAGACATGTTCAAAACAACAACAAAATAAACTACTTTGAAATGTCCAAATGTTTTCAACATCTATTATAAAATCATTGTCAAATACAACTTACATTCTTTAGAAAAAAGTCTCTTTCTTTTCCCCTGTCCACCTTCTGCACCTCCTCCAATTTCTTCATTTTCTTCCTCAAACTAGAAGTTAAAACATATATATGGATTATGGATTACACTGGACTGATATTTTAATAATTAACTATTTTTTCCCTTTTTTAAGAGGTTTTTTGCCTTCAGTCATGTGTACTTGGTGGAGAGAGACAGTGAGAGGGAAAGTGAGAAATCACCTCCTTCTCCCAACCCCCAGGGAGGACAGCCACACTGCAATCCCTTCTCCATTCTCTTTCCCAGACTCTTAAACGCCCTGGAGTGATTTTCAAGCCACCAGGTCCAGGACTCAAACTGCGGTCAGCCATGTGGAAGTCCAGTGATGTAACCTTTGTGCCATCTGCTGACCCCCAACCATTTATTTTTCATTTTCAACACTGGGATCAGTTCAGAAAGTCTAAAGCAAGCTGCAAAAAATCATTAAACCTTAGCACTGAATGGACCTTATGGATAACCTAGTCCAATTTCCAACTCAAGTAGGAATGGCTTCTACAATGTCCCTAACAATAGTAATAGTACTACATGTAAAAGTACTAATGGGGGACCAGCAGGTAGCCTGGTGGTTAAGGCACTGGACACTCCCACATGGCCAACCATGGTTCAAGTCCAGAACCTGGTGGCTTGCTTTCTGGCTTCCTCTCCATCTTTCTCTCTGGTCAACTTAAATAAGTAAAATTAAATAAATATATATTTTTAAAAACTACTAATAGCTTCTTCTGTGTGTGTGTGTGTGTGTGTGTGTGTGTGTGTGACTAAGATGCGCTACTCGAGACAGTTTTATGGTTAAAGAGTTGATATTGTGTTCAAGTCTACCTCCCTGCACTAAACAAAACTGATATTTACTAAGCACCTGACTAAACAGTGCTAAAAACTTTCCTTAAGTAAATCTTAACAGTATTTCATGACAAGAAAACCAACGCTCAATGTTAAATAACTTGCTTAGAGAGAACAGCGATGCCAAAAATCCAGGCTCCTTGACGTTAGCTCCACTATTTTTCCACTACAACATATTAAGCATTCAATTTGGTTAGCAGATTAACTGACTGTTCCAATGAGTGCTAACAAATACTAGCTTTGATCTCCGATGATTCTCTAGGTGTTTCGAAGGGTGTCTGGCCGGTACAGAGCCAAACCAAAGGGGAAGGGGCTACCTTTCTACTCTTCCTTTACGTCCTCCCCGTACTAAAAAGATACATCGGAACGAAAATGTAAGCACGGACTGAAGCCCAGGGACTCGCTAAGCTGAATTCACTACGGAAAACAGACTCGCTTCCGAACTGTGCCTGCGCCACTGGGTCCGAGGGAGTGAAGAAAACAGCTGGGACAGAGGTGGTCACTCACAGTCGGGTCCTCCTCTTCATCTGCCATCCTCCCAGCCCGCCACCTACAAAGCCTCGCCGGCCCGCTGCGAGCGGGTTTTACTACTTCCTCTGCTCCACTTCCGGTGACGTATCAGGGGCGGGGCCTAATAGGCTGCCGCAAGCGTGAGAGGGTGTGTGCGCTCCCTCCTGGCGGTGGAACCCGGCCGGTTCCCCAGGGAAGGGCTGGTCTATGAGCGCTTGGTTCTTCCTTTGGTAATCCTAAAAAAGGAATTCGACATTAGGAAAGAAGAATTATTCGTGGGCTAGGTGGCATATCTGTCGTTGTCATCCTAAACTTGCTGCTGCGTGTTGAATCACCGCTTCCCGATTAGGGACTGCGAAGCTATGAATCATTAGGCGGGCCAGCGATCCAACGGCTTCTGAAGGACGGCTTTAAACAATGGCTTATGCGTCCGCTATTTATTGTCAAGCACTGGGTTAATTATTAGGAGATACCGTGCACCCCTATTAGTTCTAAAGGGGGCAGTATCTCAAAACTGAGAAAATCTGGATTTTTGTGGGAAAGATTTATGGTCGGAACAATGACTGGGAAATCCAAGGACATTAATGAGGACTGGAGCTAGGGATATAAAGTGTCCTTCAATGTAAGGCAACAAAAATTTGTCCTATAATACACAGAATTTGTGAATGTTCTGCTGAACATTCCCATGAGTAAAAAAAAAAAAAAAAATTATTGGGAACCAGCAGTTAGCGTAATGGCTATGTTGCTGGACTCCCACATAGTCGACGGTGGTTCAAGTCCCAGACCCGGTGGCTTAGAAC